CCAAGGCCTTGTTCCTCCATTTTTGAATCAAGCAATTGGAGCTGCCTTTTAATCCATGGAGGATCACTTGAATGAAGCCAGAGTGCTTCACCAGTATCCTTGTGTCTGAAATCAGGTTCCCTTGAATTTTGCTTCCGTCTCCTATTATCCCACCACTCGTATGGGCTTGCAAAGAATACTTGCCACAGGTGTAGTTGGCTTTTGTACTTACTCATGCAATCTTCATCAACATCTATTACGTGCAAAAGGACAGAAACATAAATAAACTCGAGTAAAAAAGCTACAAAAGCAGTTCAAAAGGTCTCATGAAAATTACAGTAAATCAACTAACCGAAGACACTCCTTTTCAACATAGTTTGGTTAGTGCCTTGAAGGACTAGATGGACCTCAGCTCAACTAACAAATCACCATCCTGTGTCAGTTCCTATTACCTCTGTTTGGGCTTGTTCTATAAAATAAGATTACCATGCAGCTATAGCTAATGAAAATTTTCATGAGATGCTAAGTTCCAAGTTTATCACTTACCAGCTCCTACAGCAATAACCCAGAATTTTTATCCATGTTATCAATACAAGATCTATATTAATGTTCTACCCTATTCAAAGTGATAGCCTGCAATTGGTTATCTGCAATTGGTTATCCTTTTAAATATTTTGAACTTGCTTGCAGTGATGATTACACCAGGGACCAATTAAAAGAACAGAAAAAAAAGAAAAAAAAACTCATTTATTGCAAGGTGGATCCACTATTTAACAGCTATTAGAAAACAAACACCTGCTCCTACTTGTGATCCCTTGGATTTTTGGAAGACTGAGCCCAGGCTAGGATGCGCAACATAATTGAGCTCCTTTACATTTACCTATGAAACCGGATAAATAAATATAGTATTTCAGAATGAAAGCTTAAAGTACATGAAATAAAATGATACGGATGTAAAGCAATGAAATATAAATTTTGGGAACTGGTTGAAATCCTCAGAGATAGTTAGTTACAAGCAATGTTGAAGGACATTTCTGATCATACCTTGCCCAGCATTAACCTTAACCTGGGAATGCAGAGGAATACACAACCCAACATAACGACAAATATTGTAATTACCACAACTTTGGGAAAGCAAGATCCTTTCTCTTTGCCAAGTTTTTGACTATAAATATGGTAAAAACAAATTCATTCCTCAAACCTTGTAGTGGAAGCTCTGGTTTCCGCTCGCGTCAAGATTGGTGAAACACACCAATGGACCGGACACGAATATAAAATCATCTGCCTTCAGGTGTGTAAAACACTTTTCTGCCATCTCGTTCCACATATTTAGCAGTATCCTATTTAATAAATACCGTTGTTTAACAACAAATGTAAGTAGACATTAAGCAGAAATATTGAAGCATAGATATAGGCGATACTCTTTGTTACATATATAAGCATAGAACTTAAATCCAGCGCTTTCACCATTATTACGACATGTCCCGGGGATAAAATAGAATCGAACAATTAAGGCAAAATGGGCAGTATGACTTTTGGGAGAAGACGGACTAACATTAATTTAAGCATATTCATCGCGTTGATTTTAGAATTTTACATATAGAAAATAGCGAATAGATATTGATAATAACTACGATTACGAACAAGTTACTAAACAGTCAAAACAGCGCTGACCTAAACGTACGGTTCGGATTACGCGAATCTTTAACTCGAAGTGTGTGTAAACCCCAAAATTAACACCTTTGATTTTAATTCTTGAAGAGGCCGATCTACCGAGCCAATAAGCTGACGGAGTTCACCAAGTGAGGAAGCAGGTCTACAGTGGTTGGGCGCTGGAATTTGAGCACG